ATCACAATGTCTCTAAGTAATCAATCATCTCTGACCTCTCATTCCATTTTATTAAAATATTATTTACTAAATAAACTAGAGAAACTATTTCTTCCTAAAAGCAGCCGCTCATCCATATATATATACATATATATATATATACATACATATATATATATATATATATATATATATATATATATATATCAAAACTCCTAATCTCCTAGATTTAAATAAACATCAATCTCTGGTGACGCAATTGAATAACAGTGTAACAAATTGTAAAACAAAGACATAAATAGTTGTTTATAATATTTTTATTCTTTCTGTATTCATCATATTTGCTGTTCGTTACAGCATTTTAATATTTCTTTACATTCATATGCCACAATTTGTTTTGCCATTTTCCATTCAATGAGCATCTACTTTGTTTCCACTTCTTTGCTATCACACAAAATATTATGATATTTTGGTATCTATGGAGACTTTGTCCTTATCAGTGGCTCCTTGAGATATAGCTAGCAGTGGAACCTCTGAGTCAAAGGGTATGGACATTTTAGTCTATTTGCATAATTCCAAATTGATTTCCAGAATAATTATAATGATTCATAGTTTCACCACAATGTACCAGTGTGCCTATCTTCCCAAACCTCTCCAGCATTGCCTATTCCCACCTTTTCTTCATGAGTTCTGAGTTCTCTTTGAATGCTGTTGGTCCAGGACTACATAGAGAAAATCATGCAATGTTACAATTGGATCAGAGGATAATAGATTTGGGGCTAGAAGGGATCTAAGGGGTCATCCAATCCAACTCCCCTCATTTTCTAGTTGAAGAAATGGGGGTCTGACGGGGGAAGTGATTAGCCCAAGGTCAAATAGGTGGTACGTCATCTGAGGTGGGATTCAAACTGAAATTCTCTTAACTCCTGAGCCAGTGTTATTTCCATTTTACCAAAGCCTTGGAGATCATCTTGTCAAAACACCTTTTACAGATGAAGTAACTGAGACCCAGAGTAGAGAAGGGGTTTATCCCAGATTATAGGGCAAAAAAATGGCATTCATTGCCCTTTGCCATGTCCTTTATCCATGGTCCTCTGCCTTTCCAGTTCTACTGGCCCTCCCTTAGCCTAGGCTATGGAAGACATAACTAGAGGGAGAGGGCAGTAATGGTGGTTGCTACCTCCGGGGGAGAAAAGGGGAGATCACTGAGAGGTCTAACCAGCAACCTTCTTTCTCTATGCTTGCTGACCACTGATTCCCCACCCCATTCCAGTCTTGCCGTTATGTTTTCCTAATCTTCACAGTTGTATTTGAAATTGTTCGTATTATCTCCTAAAAGTGTTCCCTGTTCTCCCTGCTTCTGCGTACTCCTCCTACTCTACCACTCTGGTGGCCTCTTGGCTTCATTCCTTCTCAAGACACATGCAGCCTGAGTTTCAAGCTGGAATAGCCCTCAGAGACTGTAGCAACACCACTGCCTGGCAGAAAGGGCCCTGTCCTGGGAATCAATCTCCATTTGGCTCCTCACCCACACTGGCCCTGACTCACTGCATGACTTTGGGCAAGTCCCTTCTCCAATCTGGGCCTGAATTTTCTCATATATAAAACAGAAATAATCCCTGCCCTGTTAGACTCACAAAGTTGGGAAACTCAAATAAGATAGTGAAGGAGAGGCAGAATGCAGAGTGAAGAGCACTGGATTGGGACAGAATAAGAGGACCTGGGTTCTAATCCAAGCTCAAATCATTGCTACTTTCATGTAACCTTGGGAAAAATCAAAGGTCCCTTCTAGATTGAAATCCTCTCGTTCTATGCTAATAAGCTTACATTCCTATAGCATGATCTAGGTCAGGGATGGTGTATACATGATCTGTAGGATGGTATTTACTAAGCTCTTTCTGCAGAAGAATGTTAATGGCAAAGTCATTCAAACATCATTCCCATTTTACAGAGGTGTGCTGTGGCTTGCCCACAGTCACATGGCCAGGGAGTGTCTGGGTCAGAACTTGAACACCAGTCTTTTGATTCTGAAAACAGTGCTTTTTCTACTATGCCATGCTGTTTTGTAAACCAACAAGTGTTACGCAGATGAAAGACTATTGTTCTTGTTAAGTGAATAGAGAAGGATTCTGCATATCCCCAAGGCTCTGGTTCCCTCTTTCTCTACCCCCTACACCATCCTGCTGCTTTCCCATAAACATCCCCTTCCCCAGCAGTTGCCTGCCTGCTCTCTGCTCCTGGATAGTGTCCTCTTGCTCACCCCTCCTCCTCTTGGCTAATTTAGCACTTAAAGGCACTTAGAGATAAGCAATGTCATATCAATAAAGAGCATGAAAAATATGAAAATGATGGTGCAGCAGACAAGCAAGCAACTGAGGGGCTCCTGGGGAGGAAGGATGAGCTACAATTTAGTGCCTTTGTGGTGAAGGGTTAGTGGAACCAATTTCTCTCTCAAGGTGTTTGTGGCAGAGGGCCTTTCTAAGACGGAGTCTGTGGGGGAGATTTTCAGCCTCTGCATTTTTCTTCCTCTCCCCTCCCTTCCTCCCCTTAGAGTTTATAGAATGAGCTGAGCTTGGCTCTGCAATATTTTTCTTGTGGAGAGCTGGTCCCTTACAATCAGAGAACATCACAGCTGCAAGGGCCCTTAGACCTACTAGTTCAACATTTTACCCATAAGGCTCAGGAGAAGGGCATAGCCAAGGGCATGGCATACCCAGTTGGAGGCACAGCCAAGACTAGAAAGCAGGTGTCCTGGTTCCCAATTCAATGGAGGTTCACTGTGTCATGCTAGATCATGGAAGTCAGAGCTGGAGAGGATCTAAGAGACCACCTCAGTCCAATCTCCCTCACTGTTCAGCAAAAGAAACTAGGATTGAGCTACAGTGGTGACTTGACTCGGACTACAAGGATAGGGAGCCGCAAAATGTGAACTTTGAACCAAGGCCTCTCTTAACTCTGAACCTAATGCCCTCTCTTCTCTACCATGCTACTTACACATATTATCTCATTTGGTTCTCAAAACAGTCCTGGAAGAGAGGCAATGTGCTTATTATTTATCCCCATTTTTATAGATGAGGAAACTGAGAAAGGGGAAAGGGTTTCTCAGGTCACTCATCTAATAAGTGGTAGGTAGAGTCAGCCAGTCAAGTGATCAACCCTGGATCTTCTTACTGCCAGTGGAGGGCATGTTCATCTAGTCAGCTCTTCAGTATCTACTTTATGAGCCCATGGTTTAATGTCAGGCTTGCTTCTTGAAGTGTTTTGAATTCTCTTGTTCTCCCCCTTTACCCAGTACCTCATCTGACTCCAGGTCTCCTATTCTTTCTACTATACCATACTGTCTCATCCCTATAGAGGAGAGAAGCCTAGTATTCTAGATGTGGAAGAATCTTCTGAGATAGATCACCTAGGTAGAAGCAGTCTAATCTCTATACAGAAGAGAAGCTTGTATTGTCAGACCTGAAAGAACCTTTTGAGCTCATCCTGTCAGAGTCTGGCAGCCTGGTGTGATCAGAAGAACCCTGGACCCGGAGCTGGCAGACCTGAGCTTTTTGTCTTGGCTCTGCCACTCTCCAGATTTGTGCAGCACAAGAAGTCACTTACTGACTTCAGTTTGCTCATCTGTAAAATCTGTAAAATGTTCTAGATCAGAAGTGTCAAAAAGGAGGTCCACACTGCTCCTGAGCATGGCCAAACCATATTCAAATAAGATTAGGAAAGGGTTTTTTTAAATAATATTTTATTTTTTCTAATTATATGTAAACACAATTTTTAGCATTCATTTTTATAAAATTTTGAGTTCCAAATTTTCTCCCTCCTTCTCCTCCACTCTTCCCAAAACAGTAAGCAGTTTGATATAGGTTATATATGTGCAATCCTGTAAAACATATTTCCATATTAGTCATAGTTGTGAAAGAAGAAACAGACCAAAAGGGAAAAAAAACACAAAAAAATAAAGGGAAAATAGTAAGCTTCAATCTGCATTCAGAGTCCATCAGTTCTTTCTATGGATATGGATGGCATTTTCCGTCATGAGTCCTTTGGAATCATCTTGGATCATTGTTACTGAGAAGAGCTAAGTCATTTGTACAATATTGCTGTTACTGTGTACAATATTCTCCTGGTTATGCTCACTTCACTTTGCATCAGTTCATGTAAGTCTTCCAGGGTTTTTCTGAAATCCACCTGCTCATCACTTCTTATTGCACAACAGTATTTCATTAATTCATATACCACAACTTGTCCAGTCATTCCCCAATTGATGGGGAACTGATGGGGAATTCCAATTTTTTGCCACTACAAAAAAAGCTGCTATAACTATAAAGTTTGGAGATGTTTAACCAAGTAAATAATACAATAGAACATAAGACTAATATGTGGTTTTCTAAGTCAATATGGAACCCTAGGTATCCTTATGTTTGGTTTAGTGGCACTCTTTTCTATTGAGTTTGACACTGCCATTGTAGATGATCTCTGAAATTCTGTCATCTCTAAATTCTATGATCCAATGACCTTTTGAAAGGTTTAACATACAGATGTACCTCATATGAAAAAACCCAATATATGAACATCCATGTTTTTAGAACAAATATATTAAGGAGTTATGATTCACATTACAACAGAAATCATCTTGGGGGTGGGTGGAAGAGATATTTGTCCTTTACTTAATGAGCTCCACTGGTCCATTTAAAGCTAAATTTGTTCTAATTTGGGAGATTTGGCCTATTGTATAATTTTTCTCCCTTTACCTCTTCTTCAATTGAAGGGAGAATTGCAAAATGTGCTTTTTTCCATTTCTCTCCCTCTGCTTCACCCCAAGTGTAAATTGAATTCTGATGCTTATGACCTATCTCAGCTATATGACTCTGTCAATCTCTGGTTTGGGGCCTATTCCTGATGACGTAGAAATAAAACATGAGGCAATAGTGTTTCCTTTATCCCTCTAGCACCTTCCTTAGAACTAGATGTTGGGTTCCACCACTAGCTTTCTCTGAGTTTGTGTGCTCCTCCCTTTCTTACAGGATGCAGTACTGGTCTCGAAGGCTGGAACAAGAGATTGATGGAGTGATGAGGATCTTTGGTGGGGTCAAGCAGCTCAGAGAGGTAAGCTCCTTTGGCCTTCTCTTCCACTCCTTTCTCATGGGCTTAGGGCAGACTCTCTGTTTCGATAGGATGCTGACTATCATGGGGAGACCTATTCAGTTCTTGCCACTTTTTTGTGATTAGAAATGAACAAAATATACATATGTGCTTGGATATGTTTAGTCTTTTCTTTCCAAGGCTAGAAGACTAACCTATGGCTTCTGCAGTGATTATAGCTTTTTATCATGGAAATTATTTGCATTTCCACAAGCACATTTGAATTTAACAAATTTTTCACATGGTAAAATTGGGCTCAGCAAATCTGCTTTCAGGGCACAAACAGGGCTCATCCAGTCAGAAGCACTTAGTTAAATGTTGGTTAAGAAAAGGATCTGTGTGAAAAGAGGACTCAGCAAAGTGATCATACTGCTAAGTAGGACCTTTTGGTATTAGGCCAAACATGAAAATAGGATTATATTAGACAGTATGTAAAGACTTCACTCAGAAAAGTCCAGGGCAAGCTGACCCAGATAGAAGGGAAAACTAGCTTGTGAATAGAACAGGGAAGCAAGTACAGAAATGTGTGCTTAGCAAAAATGAAGAATTAAGGGTCTGGAGTAAAGGGTGATTGATTAGCTGAGATATGCTGTATTAAATCTTTGGAAGATAATGTTAATGTTTAGAGATAGTGATGTGATGAGAAGAATAATCAGTCATCACATTAGAACACTGTGAAACATGTCTTAATGTCATGTTAAACTGTTTATAACAAATCATAGTATAAATGGAAATGTGGTAGTTTAAGGACATGAAGGAATGGGCCCCCTCACTAGGGCTCACTCCATGTGGGAGGCTAATGACTATGCCCATTGGAAATTACCCTTCTTACGGCACTATCCTATTCATTGGGAAAGATGGAAGATTGTGTCTGGAGAAGCAGCCCAGGGTGGACAGAAAGTGCCAAGTTACATTGAAGAAATAATAAAGAAAGGGAAAATGGACAGACATATAGTTCATGTTTTACCAATTATCCTGTCTTAGGACCTAAGCTGTGGTTCATCTTTTATATCATTTACACAGTGTTTAAAGGTTTTCATAATGCTTCACAAATGTTATCTCATGTCATTCTTGCAATAACCCTGGAAGGTAGGTACTATTATCATCCCCATGTTACAGTTGAGGAAATTCAGGCAAACAAAGGTTAAGTGGCTTGCCCAGGATCACACAGTTAGTAAGTGTCTGAGGAGGGATTTGAACTCAGGTCTTCCTGACTCCAGGCCCAGGACTATATCCACCATACCACTTAGCTGACTTTACCACTTATTCTGTTTCTCTAGATTTTGTTTTTAGGCTTTAAAATACACACACACACACACACGTGTGTGTATGTGTGTGTATGTTACAGTACACACTAGAGGTGTCAAACTCATGGCTCCCAACACTCCCAAGTGTGGCCTAAATCCAATTAAAATGTAATTGGGAAATGTTTAACAAAATAAATGAAAATGCAATGCAACATAGATAATGTTAATTTGTGGTTTTCTAAGTAACTTCAGAGCCTGCAGGGATTAATTTCTATTTGAGTTTGACTCTGCCAGTATATACTCTCACTTCTAGAGCAAGCCACAGCTGTTTATATCTTACCAGTACAGAATGTTTTATGCTCCCTTCCTCCTTTTGATAGGCAGTACTCTGGAAGTTTGTCTGTTGAGGCACAAGTCATTTTCTTTCTTGGGGGACATTTTAGATCATGTAGTTGGGGGCTCTAATCTCCTGCATCCTTATTGATTCTAGTGCCCAAGTGTTGTCAAACTGTCCACAGCTTAGGGAGCAGGCATGGACTGGTCCGTGGACTGGCAGGGCTCTACCAGGGCTATGCCTGGCTTCTTGGGTCACCACCGTGGGTGAGTGGGGGTGAACTAATGGGGGGAGGGAGTACAGCAGAGCCAGGGAGCTTGTGATTCCTAGGCAACGTTTGATATGCTCCCCTGTAGATATGCTATTGTCCTCTGGAGATTTGGAGTTTTCACTGTGAAATCTGCAATTTGACTTAATTCAGTTCAATGCAAGGAAACAAATGTTACTTTGGCACCTGTGATGTCCGAAGCAGAGTGTGCTGAGGTTCTGGGGATGCTTGGACAGCTATGACACAGGCCCTGCCCTTGAAAGAGTTTCTTAATATCTGACGGGAGACCAAGATATGCAAGAGTCTGCTCCAATGCCTAATCATGGCTCTCGAGGGTTGTGCCAGGGGAGGACAGGGTCTGGGAGGTCCTGCCAAGCTGGAAAGGCTGCAGATGTGGTCCTGGTGATGGGGGGGTATACTTGACGTGCAGGGAAAAGTCTAGCGAAGTTCAGAAAGGCTCATCAGCACACTTTCCTCACAATGACGTCAGAGGCCTTTCCTTGAATTCTAGAGGGGCTGGAACCAGCATTGGTGGAAGGACTTCGCACACTGACAGAATTACATATCCTTGAAGTATTGAAGTGTGACTCATATAGAGATAATGATAAGACAAAGAAAAGTGCAACAAGGACAAAGAAAGGTCCAGACACTAGGCTCTCAATAACCTAGAGGAGTCTGATTCTTCTCAGCTCTGGGGATGAATCAGAGAAGGAGGAAGGAGAGGCACCTGAACTGAGCCTTGAAGGGAGACAAGGGAAATGAGGAAGGAGAGTGTTCCAGGCATGTGGGCCATGCTATGTGAACACCTGAGGGCAAGAAAGGCTCCGAAAGGGATTTAACTTGTCTGTAGCCATTCCGTTTCTGTCTCTCCCCATGCCACAGGGGATGAATCCCAATGATTTCTTACTGTGGGAAGCACAGAATCTCCAGCCTAGAAGGGATGTCATTGGTCATCTTATGTATGACCTGCACCTGAAGCCTGGTGCAGTGAAGAAGCTGTCTAGGTGGGTAGTGAGAGGACCCATGTCTAAGTCCCATCTGTTCCTCTTACTTGTGACTTTGAAGAAAACACTTAACTTCTCTGGGCCTCAGTTTTCTCATCTATGATATAAAGGGGCTAGACAAAATATCCTTTAAGGCCCCTTCAGCTGTTCCCTCCCCCACTCCCACCACAACATTCCCAACAAATGGTCCTTATCCATCCTGGTCAACCCCTCCTGGATGGTTGTATCCTATCAATGCCTTCTTTATATGTGCTGCCCACCATAGGGCACACACCATGGGATCTGACCAGGCAAAGGCAGAGGACAGACAGCAGAACTATTACTTCTTGTGTTTTAGACACCATATCTCTCTGTATAGCACAGTCAGGATGGCCAACACCATGTCTCTCTTGAAACATTAAATATTGAGGAAGATTTTTTTACCTTTAACCCAGGAGTAGCTATTGAACTTTATCACTGTCTCTCCCATGAAATACTTCCTAGCTTAGAATAATGGATGACCAGGTCAACCTGACTTTGCCAGTGGTCTCAAACAGAAAACACTTTTAAAGAAATGTGGTTTTATTACTTTCAAGAATAATAATACCTAAGTGGATGCTTGTGTATTATTATTGGATTCAGAGTTACAGGACCTGGGGCTAAATCCCAGTTTTGCTATTTACTAACTATATAGTGCTGGGCAGCTCCCTTTCCTTCTCTGAGCCTCAGTTTCCCAATCTATAAAATAAGGGGTTGGATAAGATGATCTCTAAGGTCCCTTCTGGATCTAAATTTCATGATCTGTGAGTGAAATGAAATGGGTAAATGAAAGGATCTTGAAGTGGACCCATCAACAAATGAAGATTCATCCCCAATTGATAAATGGTCAAAGGATATGAACAGGCAGTTCTCAAATGAAGAAATTAAAGCCATCTATACTTATATGAAAAAATGCTCTAAATCACTATTGATTAGAGAAATGCAAGTCAAAACAACTCTGAGGTACCACATCACAACTATCAGATTAGTCAACATGACAAAACGGGAAAATGATAAATGTTGGAGAAGATGCTGGAAAATTGAAACACTAATGCGTTGTTGGTGGAGTTGTGAAATGATCCAGCCATTTTGGAGAGCAGTTTGGAACTATGCCCAAAGGGCTATAAAAATGTGCATACCCTTTGACCAAAGAGATCATACAAATGGGAAAAGGACCCACATGTACAAAAATATTCATAGCAGCTCTTTTTACGGTGGCAAAGAATTGGAAATTGAGAGAATGCCCATCAATTGGGGAATGGCTGAGCAAGTTGTGGTATATGAATGTAATGGAATACTATTGTGCTATAAGAAATGATGAACAGGCTGACTTCAGAAAAACCTGGAAAGACTTGTATGGTCTGATGCTGAGTGAAGTGAGCAGAACCAAGAGAACATTGTACACAATAACAGCCATGTTGTGTGATGACTAATATTGATAAACTTAACCCTTCCCAGCAATGCAAGGATCTAAGACATCTCCAAAGCCCTCGTGAGGGAAAACGCTATCCACATCCAAAGAAAGAACTATGGAAGTTGAATTATTATTTTTTTTCTCTTCTGTTGAGTTTTGTTTCCTCTTTCTGGTGGTTCCTCCCATTGGTTCTAATTTTTACTTACAACATCACTAATATGAAAATATGTTTAATAGGAATGTATATGTATAGCCTATATCAGATTGTGTGCCATCTTGGGGAGGGTGGTGGGGAGGAAGGGGGAGAAAAATTTTAAACTCAAAAGTATATGGAAGTGATTGTTGATAAATCAAAATAAATTAATAAAAAAATTTAAAAAACAAAAAACAAATGAGGGTTCACAGAGGTATATAAAGTGTCCTCAGGAGTTACACTCTCTAAATGAAGCCACAATTTACTGGACCTTCTTTGACTCTGGAAATGACTGACTTTGGACTGAGGAGCAAATGGAATCCTGAATCACTTGCCAAGGAAGAGATTGATCACATAGCCGGGTATGTCCAAATTGTTTCAGAGCCCCAGTTAGTGACCCTAATTGACTGTTCTCATCCTCCATCCAAGTCAAGGGTGAGGGGCTCTTGCTGTCTTGATCAGAGACATTGCCCACTGTATCATCAA